TAGTTGCCGGCTGGAGTTAAACCACAACAGGGCACCGATGCACAGAGTGAAGAATGCATAGCTAGGGAAAGCAGGAAGGTACAATCACAGACTTAGAAACAGCCATTGTGGAAAAACACAAAGCAATCTGATCACTGCTGAAAGAGAAACCCAACTTCTTTTGTAATGTGGTGACACTCTTACCTAAATCCAGTGTTTGAGCCCCAAGCTTCAAGAATGAACATACCTCAAAAGTATGTACTCATTTCCTGGTAAACCAGCTGCATGGTCAAAGAAATCCAGTGCTTAGCTTTAAATAAGCCTGGGCTAAATTGGAAATGCATCCAAATTCAAAATACTTTGGGGCTGTTGTATGAGAAAGATGAAAAACAGGGAAAAAAAAAAAGGGACATAGATAGGCTAAAGGCAGACTTTTGTATTTGCATGGCCCCTGGAATAATCCAGCTAAAGGTAGTTTTGACCTATATGCAGTACCACATTCTAAAGTTTTAATAATAATAGTAATACATTAATGATATACCTTTCTTTCAGATGAGAGACTGTCTTTGCAAAGTGTTCTGCTCCGCCGTCGGGCATATCTAGAAGCATTTCAATTATTCAGTTAACTTTTCTGTTCAAGAAATATATTTACTTATTAACAAAGCCACAAAAAACCTACAGAGTCAAATTTAAATGCAAACCAATAAAGCAGTCAAACCCCAGTCTTATCTTACCACTTATGCCAAAGGTTTAAAACAGATAGTCTACTGAGCCTTGTTCTGCACAAAGTCTAACTATGATCGTCTAGGGCAGACTTCAAATGTTTACTCTGAATTTACCTGTCTCTAGGTTCACTGTCAGCCTGAGCACAGAATGGCTTTATCTATTTATGTTTTTGGTCTGAGAAATAGTTCTACAAAAATTGAAATATATATATTACTGCTCTTTTATTGTAAGCCACTTTGAAGCTAGTGGACTTTCCACTGAAGTATACTGAACGGTCTTTACAATGGTTTTCCCCACCTATGTGGTGTCATCACAAAGGAGCTACTGCAAGCTTAGACAAAGGCAACTTTCAGTTTTGTTACGTATAATACATTCAGATTTAGTTTTTGGAAGGAGGTTCTGTAATGGTATTGTATATGAATGTTTGTGGGGTTTTTTTTGCTAATCAAGTAATAGAACATGGTGTATATGTACGTATTTTGCAAAAAAAGAGTTATAAAATATTTAATATTGTAATATTCTTGATGTACACTAGCAGTGTAACTTCTGTTATATTTTACGAGACATAAAGAAATACTAAGAATATGTAGAAACTTTCCAAAGTTTCAGCACTGTCCACAGCTTTAAAAAGGTAATCCTCAACAATTGCGCCGAGGGATAAATGTTTATTGAGGTCTGCCTTTACCCCATGTAACACATATGAGAGCTTAGACTGGAAGAGATGGGAGACAACATACTAACCGTCTCTGTCCACAGACGTCAGTACAACATAATCCAAGCCCCATGCAGCTACAGCCTTTGCTGTGTTGTAAGGCTCCTTGGGATCCAGTGGAGGTGGGTTTTTTGCTGTCTTTACTGAACAAAATCTGCAACCTCTAGTGCATGTGTCACCCATCAGCTGAAATAAGAAAGACATTCCTACCTTTACATCGTACACATCACTATTGCTTAGCTGAGAAACAGCGCATAAGCTAGATCAGATAAATCCCAATACTAAGCAAAACAATGAGGACGGTGATTTACTCTAAATTTCTTGTAATAAGCCCACACCACTACGGTAGAGATCCAACAATACACTACAAACAGCTCAAACATTAATAGAATACTTAAGAAATGGTTAATGGCTTACCATAATAGTAGCTGTAGCTGTAGCATATTCACCACCTCCCCAGCATTCTCCAATGTTGGGACAACGTGCTTCTTCACATACCTAAAGTTAAAAGACAGTAACGTACCTGTCTTTTTTCAGTGTTGTTACTGAAAAATGTTACTGTATTATTGATCAATTTCAACAGTAGCCTACAAACAAAACATAATTCCTTCTGCGATAAATGAGGAGATTAACAGAGTTACATGTTGTTCTATGAGAAGTCAGTAGAACAGTTAGGAAGAGAATTGTTTGCTGGCATCCATTACCATTCTTTTCCTGTACTTCACAACTCCAAACACTCCTCAGCCACGTAACTGCCTTATTAGTTAGCACAGATTGTCATTAACATTTTAAATTTAAAAATTGCTAAAATGTTCACAAAGTCTATAATGCATCAAAGCATGATCTTACTCTGAAAAAAAGAGGAAAAAAGCTCTCCATGCATACCCACCACTTTTTACCATCTGGAAGGTATATTTAATGAAATACATATATTTCTAGAATTTCTTTTCATGCAAAACATGTATGTAACTCTGAAATTGTGTGCGTTTCCATTAAAAACAGTCACACATAGCATCTTCTGATCTCTTTGGTGATGAAAGTAGTAAACCCTAGTATTTAAAATCATAGCAGGAAAAACATTAAATTGGATTTGTCTTCATTCTTTATGGGTAAAATTCACTGCTGGCAAAAAGGATCAGCATTGGGCTTGGTTTCAGCGTTGAAGATCATGCAAGACGTTATTTCTAACTGTCCTCCACAGAGAAATAATTTTATATCTCTAAAAAATGCCTTATTTCTACAGGAAAACTTGGTTGGTACTAGATTTACCGTATGAAGATTTAAACTTCTCAAGGTATTCTTTAGTTTATTGTAGTTCTTTCCCATGGGAATCTTTGTTTTCAGCCATGGAGGAAGTCGCAGCCTGAATAACATCAAGCAAACATAAAGATTAATAAATTATTTACATGGTAAGCTTCCATTAATTTCATAGATCCACTTTAATTTGCTACAGATCCCCAATAGGAAAGGTTCCCTGAAAACTGACACAACTCAGCAACCAATATTAACATCATTCATAGTCATAACGGACTTCTCTCTTCCATGTTTATCATCATCCCAACATTGAAGAGTAGGAGTTTGTTGTCATGGGAAGGTTTAAAACTGTTAACTGTACCGATGGGATTTAACGGTGCCACACCGGAGACTGCAACAATTAATGGCAGCATATGTTACACAGCTATCACAAAGTCTGATCAAATTTGTAACTGGAAATATGGGGATTTTTTAATTTAGTCTTCATTTTTTGTTTTACTCTATCAATAATATTTTTCCCACACCAAAGTAGGGTACGCTCACCTACTGGTGTATGTTTGTAATTTAAACAGGCCATAACACAGGCACTCAAGTGAGAAAATACCACCATGTCTTCATGTTTTGTTACGCATTTGAAGTTAATAATGTGTTTGTTCTTTCTTGAAAGATTATGGAATTGGCAAGCCAGTACGACAGAATTTAATAAAAATACATTGTCTGCATTTTGTAGTTAATACTAAACATGCAGATAGTGCATGGGAGCAACAACAGTTGTTTAAAATCACAATTACCTTTCCCCTTTCTGACGCTTTAAATTGCCTTTATACTCAGCCCACGTGCTCTTGTCTGACAAATCTCCACATACGAAGTCTTGTAAGTCTGGTCCATTTTGCAGAAACTCTTTTTTTTCCTCTGGCAAAGAACCTGATGTTCTGCACTGGTTACACACAGACGCCTAAAAGAAGCAACACTGTAATTTATTGACTTACAAATGTACTAGCATTATATATTAAACAACTACTTGTCCTTTTGGTGTATACTTAATGTACACTTTGTGTAAGCATTTTCCCAGTTGCCTTTAAGTTAAACATAGAATTCTCTTTTTCATTCACGTGAAACATAACGCATCATCTCGTCCAAAATATCTTAATATCAAACTAAGTAATACAGTTTTTGGATATGAATAACACTGTATGGATTAATTTGAGATTTCGGGGCAGAAGAGCAGGACGTTGAGATGACTAACCGTACGCTGCCAAGTCAGTAACTGACGGACGTTATTTGGATGGAAAGGCGGCACAAACCGGGTTCTCGGAAGGGGGGTTTGAGGCGGATGGGACCCGCGGCTGGGTTTTCTGAGGGGGGGGTGCGCGGCCTGGGCACAGCACCCTCCGGCTGCCCCGCGCCAGCCCTGCGGCGCTGGGG